TTATATATAGTATTATTATATATTACAAAATAGAATACGATATTATTAAAAGGATTATATAAAAATTATTTTTGTCACAGATATTCATGCTTCAGTTTAACAAAAGCGGACGAAAGAACAATTTCAATCAATGCTACATCTTTCTTGGATATTATCTTTAATCACGATGATTTCAAGCAGGTACATGATTAAAATTCAATTGAAGAAAATAAAATAAATCGTATTTATTTTGTCATTGTTATAAACGCACAATTATATTTCTTCGTAAAATAATAAATAAAAATTTGTACACACAAAATAGCAGAAAATATGATAAAATAAAAAATATTCTTACACTGTTATATTATATTAAAGAAAAGAAGTGTGTGTAAGACATGAAAATAATTAGCACATTTTGCAAAATTATATATAAATTGCAATTGTTTGTATTTTAGGTATATTTTCAGTATGGAAGGCAAATTGCCTCACATGATCAACATGTAAATTATCATTTATTGACAATCGCTATTATGGAAAAACTGAACAACATGCCATACGAGAATCATTACAAATGGTCTCTAGGTTCGGATTCAATCTTGGACGTTGCGCTAACATACATAGAATATCGTAAGTGACACAAATAAACACAATTTCAAGAAGTCTAAGAATTTCAAGGATTTATAAAAAAGATTTACGAATTTAGAACATCAAACATTTCGAAAATTTTAAGAATATTATAAGTTTAAAAAAAAGAACTTATAATTAAATTATACTTAAATTTTAAAAGTCACAACAAGTTTTTTTTCTAGTCGGAGAAGAAATTTGCGTCGGAGAGTTAAAATTGCTAGGTACTCATGAGATTGGCGGATCATTACCGTTAATCAATGTTTATGAGGCAACTCTGATATTTTTTTGCGATCTTGTCAGTAAGATTCGACCAGAAGACTTTCACACACTCGAGACACTTCTGCTAAAGTATTTGTTGTGTGGCCACTTTTGGAGTTCTCTGCTAAGCTCAGACGTTTGGTGCTTTATTGGCAGGTAAACGACTGCGCACGGTCTTCATTTTAATATTGATATTAGCATTAATATTAATAAAGTTGATTAACAAAATATTAGTAAATTAATATATTAATTAGTTGTTTAATAATACGTTAATTAACATAGCGTGATAAAAAATAAACTGATACCATCCAACTGATTCCTCGCATATTGTTATGTTTAAGGCTCGGAACTTCGCAACTATGCGCCGATCATATCAAACATCTGATCAAAGTCTCCGTCATTTTGATAGAAAGACGTGACAGTATAGAAGCGATCATGCTAGATCACATGATTATCAGTCTATTTGAACTATTGACTGAAGACATGAAATCTACTCTTCTCAAGAATCTCGTTGAGACTATGGATATAAATAATTACGTACCCATCCTGTATCTACTAGTAGCGAAAACTAAGGGTTTTACATCGGAACGATTGCGGCATAAATTCGAGGACTTGCCGAAGGCTTTTTTGGATCTGCAAGAACACCCTTCTATTTGCAATTGGAAACGTCTTGTAAGATATACTAAATTTATCAATCTCCTATATTGGAAAAAATGAACGAATTTTTTTATTAATTTAAAACCTTGATCAATGTCGAAATTGTGAAATAACTTAAAAAATTTTTAAGCTCGAAAGTCTTCTGTCCATCTATTTCCAGATACAATCTGTATCCGCGATGGTAGCGGTGGATTATAGCGATAACAAGGACATTATTGAAATCCTAACTAAATTGTGGACTTTCGTGGAAGATGCGATTATCAAGTGCGAAGGCAAACAATTAGATATAGTATCTGATTTGTTCGTTAGCCTGCTCGACGCCACTCGTCTTGGAAGTCTTCAGGATAACATGTTTTGTTCGGTATAAATATGTTTTATTGTTATTTATTTATTTATTAAGGGTAAATATAACACTCTTTGGTTGCATAAGTATTAAAACCTCATATTTGATATTTCAGATTTTAAAGTCTATCGCGACCTCATGCGTCTATTTGCCTTCTCGGGGCAAAATCAAGATCTGCCATTTTATACGACGATGCAGCGAGGATCTCGATCGTTGCGGAGTCCAAGGCGTAGCATCCATCTTGATCGGGTTGTTCGCTCATCTACTGGAAAACGAGAACCCCTGGGTACGTCAGGAAGCCCTGGAGACTTTCGAGCATATAGGACAAAGATGCTCGGAGCAACTGATCGCTAAAATAGCGAAGGCTCTGGCTAAAATACCCAACATCAACAGCGTCATGCAAGCTTACTTGTCTTCGAGGCCGTATTATTCCCTGGAAGGCTTCGCAAACATGCAGGACTTTCTTAGATATTTGGCTGGAGCTATCAAAAATCGCGACGAGCACACATGCTACGAGTACAATGTAAGTATGATTAAAGGCACAAGTTAAGAAATAAAAGGTAATTATTTATTTTAGGTTTTTTTTTTAAACTTATACACAAGAGCAAATCCAACAATTTATAATATAATATCTACAAGTTCATTTTTTTCAGCGATTCTATCTGGAATTAAATTACATTGAACAAAATGTTCCTCTTAGAACAAAATAATTTTGATTTGATATGTTTTTCTTTTTTTTAACAACTAGTCTGTAATATATAATTTTAGAAAGATTAAAACAAAAGAAATATCTCCTCTGTATACTTAAATAAAGCGCGAAGCGCTATCATTTTATGGATATACTAATTGCAATAAATAAACACAAGGAATCCGAGAGAGAAGAGAAGATACCGAGGCTGGAAAAAGAGGAAAACTCATCGTGCGATGTTTTTATGCCGATATTAATACAACTGGACGAACGAGCCGAGGAGTTGTGCAAAGAATTAGCGAAAGTGTTGGAAGGTCGAGCCGTTATCAGCGATGCCGTCTGCAGAAAATTGATAACTGTACTAGAAAAAATTATTCGAACGAAATGAAATTTCGCGGAATTGATAAGTTTGTCTTATTTCACATGATAAAGGGGATAATCTATCGGTGATAAAGATGAAAACTGGAAATAGCAGTTTATTGGAAATAGTAGTGGTAATTGAAAAAAGAACAAAAAATAAATAAAATATAAATTAGAAAAAAATTATTCTGCAAAAGAAATAGTAAAAAACAAAAAAGAAAATATAACATTACATACAAAAAATTTTTGTTATTATCGAAAGTGACAATAATAATTTAAAAATCTTGAAAAATACATAGAAAGCAATAAAAGTATAAAAATTATGGAATAAAAAAAAATTAAAATATATGTAACTATCTTTTCCTACTTTCTTTCATTTTCTTTCCCGCGTTCATTTCTTCTGTTCATTGATAACTCATACATAACATATATTCAGAATTCTTGCATACGGAATATGTCAACGTCTTAAAGACTCTCACACAAGACGCATCAATATATTATGAGCGGCGAGAAATAATGCAATAACTACTCGATTTACAGCTTGTTCGTAAAGCCCGTTCTACATTGATCGCATGTCGCCAGTCGCAAGCAAATCGACCAATCACAGTCGAATATTCGACGTAATAATCGACTGTGATTGGTCGATTTGCTTGCGACTGGCGACATGCGATCAATGTAGAACGGGCTTTACGAACAAGCTGTAAATCGAGTAGTTATTGCATTATTTCTTGCCGCTCATAATATGTTGATGCGTCTTGTGTGAGAGTCTTTAAGACGTTGACATATTCCGTATGCAAGAATTCTGAATATATGTTATGTATGAGTTATCAATGAACAGAAGAAATGAACGCGGGAAAGAAAATGAAAGAAAGTAGGAAAAGATAGTTACATATATTTTAATTTTTTTTTATTCCATAATTTTTATACTTTTATTGCTTTCTATGTATTTTTCAAGATTTTTTTATTGATAAAGAAAGTCAGCTCTTAAAATCTCCAATAAAACTTAATGTGTTAGTGCTGTATTTTGTATTAATATAGTATTATACAAATCGCAATTTTTACGAATATTATTATAGATTCAGTGATTTACGCTAAGGTCACTTGCATTTTTTATTTGGTGAGTACAGATGCGATAAAAAACTGAATTTATATTAGATGCAGGATTTAATGTTATCGACGATAATGCATTTTATCGTAATTTATAACAAAATGATTCATAAAATTAAATAAAAATAATTTTTGTTAACAAAATTTAATTCGCTATTAAATTATTCAGGATTTAGTTTATTACAACGCGATAATTTAATATATATTCTATTAAATAATCTTTTTGTTGTTAAACATTTAAACTATTTAGTTGATATATTTTTGAAATAAATTTTATTTTTTTGCATTGATATATATTTGTATTTTATGATATTTGCTATTTCTTATAATAAACCGCTATCTGTTTATAAAAAAATGCTAAATGAATGCAAATATTTATGTGCGGAATTAGCGAAAGACAATCTCACATGTATTTTTATGCATTCACATATATTATATTTGTGCATTCACATATTTTTGATCAACATTTATATAATCAAATTTTATCGCACAAATGACGATATATCTATCATCGTAATATCACATCGTATATGCGGATATGAGTATACCGATAAATCTGCGTTTAATTGTTGATTAGTAGTTTCCCGGAAATTTGCGGGAAGTTCAGAAATAGTAACATAAATTTGATTGTTACGCGGTATGCATCTATAATGAAATATTTATGCACATTCTCTATCGTACTAATTATAAATAATATATTTCAATATTAGAATAATATCAGAATAATATTTAGAAACTTTAAAATTTTTTTTGAATGTGCAAAAAAAGAGAAAAATAAAAATTTAATTTAATTTAGAAATATAATTGTTTTTCTTTTTAAACATATTTTGTTATTTTCCACTTTTCTTCTTTGGCTTTCATTTAAAATATATCATTTTTATATTTTATTTTTATATTTTGTCATAGAAATACAAGTATGATAGCGTGGTTTTGTATAATTTTAACGTATATATAATTTGAAGTTAAAATTTTAGATTTTAAAGATCCGGATAATTATATGCAATAATGCAAAACAGAAATATTGAACGCTATCTAATTGACGATAGTATATTTCATAAAATAAACAAACGATTTATAAGTTTGGATTTTAATGATGTAAGAATTCACAATCAGCATTTGACTGAGGTATTGTAAAAAAAATTGATAATATTTTTTATTCAAACAATATATTTTATAACCACGTTATTAATATGTTTATAGTGCGTTATAAAATTTTTGTGTGTTGTAGGTTCTTACGAAATTAGTAGAAGCTATGCGACGACAAAGTCCGCTCTTTAATAAAACGTTTCAAAGAATCCTATGGGCCGGCAGTTATTATAAAAAAACTCGAGTCGGAGAGCCAGAAGAATATGATTTAAACTTTGTGATCAACTTACCCTTTAAAAAGCGAGATATAGAAGTATAATATATTACTTTTGAACTCGATAATGTGTGACAATGTTACAAAATAATATAAGAGAAATTAAGAAAATGCAAAAAGATATATTATTAGTTGTTCAATTTTCAAAATAAATTTTTTTCGAAATTTTTTTGTGCAAGATCTTGTATGAAAAAATTTTTTTTCCGAATTTATGATTTGTATTCAGCATTGATGTATTACTTTCATATCTTATATATATAGAATTACACATGGATAAATGATATTAATATTTTATTA